GCACCGCCTCCGCCACGGAGGGGTGTCGCACGACCTCCTCTTCAAGGCTCGCTCTCTCCTAAGCGCCAAGAAGCGAGGCCGCTGGGCCAGCGACCGCAGCCTAGCCCGCTACGAGCGGGGCGGGCGCATCAACGAGCAGCTGAGCCTCTTGTCCCAGGACGTCCTCATCGCCGCCGACCTGGCGGCCTCGAACATTGGCGTAACCCTCGTGAATGCCTTCCGCTCTTTGTGAAGCAGCGGGGCGTCCCCGCGGCCCTCGAGATCTTCGCTGGCTCCGGGCACCTGTCTGAGGTTTGGCGCCGATCCATGAGGTCGGCTGGCCACCCTGTTTTCGAGATCGACATGCGGCACGGGGTGGAGCACGACATGTGCAGTAAGGCCCTGGTCAAGTTGATCCGGGGCTGGGTCCGGGGTGGGCTCGTGATGGCCGTGTTCATGGGCACGCCGTGTAACTCTTTCTCTCTGGCAAGGAACCGCCCTAACGGTCCCCCGACCCCCAGGGCGTCCGAGTACCCCGAGGGCCTCCCCAAGCTCTCGGACAGCTGCCGCAAAGAAGTCGACCTCGGAAACGCCCTGTGTGCCGCAAGTTTCAGTATCCTCCGTGAGTGCCGTTTACTTGGGTGCCCAGTGATCGTCGAGAACCCTGCGAGCTCTCATCTTTGGAGACAACCCCTGGCCCTCAAGGTCCGACATCTTCCTGGTGTTTCAGAGGTGGTTTTCGACATGTGCGCTTTCGGCACCATCTGGAGAAAATCCACTCGACTTCTTGTGTGTCACGTTGATCTTCGACCACTGGATATTCGATGTAGAGGCAGAGGTGTATGTACGTTCACTGGCTCCCCGCATTTTACCTTGGAGATGAAAGGCTCCAAGATCGTATCGAAGCAGGCGGAGGTTTACCCCTTCTCTGTATGCCGGGCCATCGCGAGAATATTTCGTGCTGCTCTAGTGCAACAGCGTGCTAATAAACTTCGGCCTCATTTTTGAGTCCAGAGCGGTGTTCGCGGAGGTTTTTTCTGTTCCTGGGCTTTACACTGGTTCGGATTTTCAACAGTACTGTTTCCTGGTCTGTACGTTGTCCCCTCCCCTGCAGTCTTGGGGGCAAGCACATCCCAACACAGATCGTGTCCCTGGCGACGGAGAAAACATCTGGCCATGCATTTGAATACTTCAGTAAAGGTTTGCTTGGAAGAGAGTTGCAGAGTGCGCCGCCCTGCCGCAACCGCGGGGCTCAAGCTTTCACCCAATACCCTCCCTCCCTTCTGTAAGGCCGAGGCATAGGCAGGCGGATTTACAACAGTACTGTTTCCTGGTCTGTACGTTGTCCCCTCCCCTGCAGTCTTGGGGGCAAGCACATCCCAACACAGATCGTGTCCCTGGCGACGGAGAAAACATCTGGCCATGCATCCTCCTCCTCCTCCTCCTCCCTCTTCTTCCTCCTCCTCCTCCTCCTCCCTCTTCTTCCTCCTCTTCCTCCTCCTCCTCCTCCTTCCCTCTTCCCTCTTCTTCCTCCTCCTCCGTTGCGCGTCGGCGCCGCAGGGCCCCCGCCGCCCCGGTCGGGTAACCGAGGCCACGTGGTTGTGCAGGAGGCGCCTCTTATATACGCGCGAGCTTTTCGGGGCGGTCTGAGGCCTCAGTGGCGAGTGTCTTGGGCAGGTCGCGGGGCCTGCTGGGAAGGCGCGCGCACGGAGAGCGAATCGAATTCGGTTTGGCCGACAGCCAGTCAAGGATGAATGGTTCCCGCAATGACTGCGGCCCCGAATTGCCACGCCTGGGCGCCCCCTTTGGTGATTATCGTAAACCCACGGGGGTGAATATCTCGACAGACAGTTTGCGCTGCGCGGGCTGGGTCCCAAGGAATACATATATAAATATATATATATATAGAGAGAGATATGTGTATGTATATGTGTATATGTATATATACATATATGTATATGTATATATAGCAATGCATACAGCATCAACTCGCCTCTCAATTCAGTTCCTTGTGGGACAATTGCTGTTCGAGTAGTTGCGTGGCGTTGCCGCCCCGGGCAGCAGGGCCTGCCTCGCAGCAGGTTCCCGCGCGCGGCAGCCCAATGCAGCAGCCCATGTACATCGCGGGCCGCTGCAGCCCCGGTACCTTCTGCTGTGCGGAAGCGAGAGGTGCTCCGTGGCAGGCAGCATCGCTCTCCGCCGCATTGCGACGTCTCACACAATACACATATATATATATATATATGTATGTATATATACATTTATATCTACATATATATATATATATATATGTGTGTATATATATATGTATATATATATATGTATATATATATGATGCGTGTGCCTCTGTGTGTTTTGTGTGTTATGTGTGGTGGCTTGTGTGTGATGTGTGTGGCGCGAGTCTGGCCAGGCGTGCGACTCCGAGCGTTCGAACGGTTTCCTGCAGTTGTTTTTTGGGGTTCGATTCGTGAGCACGCCTCAGGCAACACCGTATTTGTTCCAATGCCCAGTTCAGTGACAGACGGACGGACGCATCCGTCCATTCGGAGCTCTGATGCCTCGGACGAGTGCGAATGATAGTGGTTGGACTCAGCGAAATTTACACGGGATCGTGTATTGGGGGAGTGGGCGCCGAGTAGTTTCGAGGGATCGTGGCCCCGGGAGCGCGGGCGCAGTGTAATTTGCGGGGGATCCTGAGCTTTGGAGCGCGCGAACGTTTTTGTTCATAGCTCCGCCTGTGCGCGAAGAGTTTGCAAACATGCCACAGCCTTTGCGCTGGCGGCTTCGAGGCGCCCCAGGCAGGAAAACGCAGGGCCGCTCCGCCGCACCCCTTGGCGGGCGGGGACTATGCGGTGCTGGCGGCGGCTTCGCCAGGGCTCCGCGCGGCCTAAAACGCCATATACTTAAACTTTTTGCGCTCCGCGCGGGCTTCTTGGATCCACGCTGGGCCCCCGGGCGGCGCCTCCCCTGGCGCGCTCCGCGCGCCACGGAGGGGGGTCAGCGCAGATCCGAGAATCCGCGCGGAGCGCCAACGCGCCCGAGCTGGGAAGGCGCTTTGCTGCGGCCGCGGGGGGCGCCGACGGACGCGGGGGCCCGCGGCCAGTGGCGCTGCACTGGCCGCGGGCCCAATCGTGTCTGTGCCACTCGGTGGCCCTGCGGCTGGCTGCTAGCCAGCCCCCTCGCCCAGAGCGTGGAGGTGCTGCTCCTTCGGCAGGTACCCGCGCCACTCGGCCGCCAACTGCGGCCCTGTTTCTCGCCCACCGCGGCACCGTTGTTTCCCGCCTGGACGCATGCTGGCGCGCTCGCTCTCGCTTCCCCGCTCCTTCCCCGTTCCCTGCTCTGCCGGGCGCGCGAGCGCCGGAAGGCGAGATCGGTTTGCTCACGTTTCGCGGCCGCACGCCCGTCGCTTCCGCCTCTCAGGTTGGGCCTGGTTTTTGCTTCTCTTCTTCCCTCCCCTGTTTCGATGCTCATTTTGGGAGCCTTACTGGGGCCTAGCTAATGGATGTGTGCAACTCCAGTTCAACTCAGGTCCGACTACGCTGCGACTCAGGTTCGACTCAAGTTCGGCTCAGCTCGACGCTGGTCGACGGGACGTCCGACGCAGCTTCCACGCACGAGTGGAGCGAGTGGTCTGGAGATTCTCCGCAGGGCAGGTGGTGCAGCGAAGCCACCAGCGTGTGATTCGACACGTACAGGACTGGCGGGCCTGGTTCCGCCGGGCGAGGGCGCTCCGGCTTCGGGTCCACGTCGGCCCAGTCCCATTCGAGATTGTTGGGGCGAGAGTCGGAGGAGCGAGCTGGGGGCACCGGGCAACGTTCGGAGGGGCGGCCCCCGGTACATGTCACTGAGGGGAGGTTTACTAAAGTGAGGTCTATCCAGCCCCGAGAGAAGGTCCCCAGCACGAGCATGTCACCCTCCCCCCTTTCTGAGCCAGCCCCCTCGGGGCCTGCTCCAGGCGAAAGCCTGTCGGCGCGCGGGCTCGGCCGCGTGGTGGCGTGAGTGGCCCCTGCCCGCCTCCGCCCGAGCCAGACCTCTCGGGCCGGGCGAAAGGGGGGGATTGGGAAAGGGGGGGTTACGAAATTTGCTGCATGCAGCTGGTTTCGGCCTCACCGAGGGGCCCATTCCTCGATACATTCAGGGGGGCGTAAGACTCGGGTACAGGGGACTCGGAAATCCCCGACGAGGTCGTCAAAAAAATGACGAGGCCGAGCCTGCATTTTGACGAGGCCTCCCGCTGCAGACATCCCACGAAACTCCTCCTCGTCAAAATCCGAGGCGCGGTCGTCAAAAAACGATGGCGAGCCCGAGTCCTGGCAAACCCGGGTCTTACGCTCCCCCGATACATGGCCGCCTCCGGCGCCTGGAGGCGCCGGGAAAATCAGCTACGTGAGCTGATTCTCAAACCCCCCCTCTGCTATCCCCCCCTTTCGCCCGACCCGGACCTCGTGGGCCGGCTTCCATCGGAGGCCCGCCCAGGGGGACAGCAGGGGATCCCATGGGTGCAGCGGAGGCTGCGGGAAGGGGTCGGGGAGCCGCAGGGGCTGCCCGGGTCCGCGGGCGGCGGGGGCCGGGGAGGGGGAGCACGTGAGCAGCAGCAGCAGCAGCAGTGGGAGGAGGAGGACGAGGAGGAGGAAGAGGAGGAGGAGGCGGCGGAGGCGGAAGCGGAGGAAGAGAAGGAGGTGGAGGAGGAGGAGGAGGAGGAGGAGGAGGAGGAGGAGGAAAAGAAGGAGGCGGAGGAAAAGAAGGAGGAGGAGGAGGAGGAGGAGAAGGAAAAGAGGGTGGTTGAGGAGGAAATGGAGGGGGGAGAAGGATGAGGAGGGGGAGGAGGAAGGGCCAGGCGGATGGGACGGGGCCGAGGAGAAAACGGACGGATGTGGGTTGAGGAGAATAGAGGACGAGGAGGAAAAGGAGGAAAAAACATGGTGGAGGCTGACCAAGGAAAGCGGGCACTAATCCTCGTTTGTCTCCTCCTTACTTCTTTTCTCTTCGTTCTCATCTTTTTCGCAACGACAGATGCGCAGGTCGCTTGGGGCAGCTGCAGCTGCGCCGGTTTCTGGGGTTCCTGGGCGCCGAGGGCAGCGACGCCTGGAGCACAGCTCGTCGACGCCGCCGCCGTCGTCGTGATGGTGGTGGCCGTCGTCGTCGTCGTCGTCGTCGTCGTCGTCGTCGTCGTCGTCGTCGTCACCTTCCCTCTTTTATTCAAAAGGCGTTCGCCATTCCACCGACCCCCAGACGAAGTGAGGCCTTCGGGGCGTCTTGGCGGGCGAGATGAAGCCATGTCAGACGGATTTCTTGAAACCCAGTCGGCAGGCGCCAGTCGTTGGCGCTTACTAGCTGTTTCTTGGACGCCGTCTCGCGCATGGAAGGAGCCCCATGAGCTCAATGAGTCCTACAAGCCCTTCGTGCGATTATGAACCCTACGAGCCCTGTGAGGCGTATGACCCCCATGAGCCCATTGGGTTGGGCGGCGCCAGGGTGGGGCGGCGTGCTGATAGCTGACCATGCCAAGCATTTGGGCGTTTACGTTGGACCTGGGCGCGGGCACCTTTCTTGGCAGTCGCCGCTCAAGAAGTTCTTGGAAAAGGTCCAGACTTTGGGGGAAGGGGGTCGGAGCTCTTCTGACAATACAGGCTTACAGAGTGCACATTGCATCCACACTGCTCTCTGTCGGACAACTCGAGGACCCCCCCCCGGACTTCCACGCGACGGAAGCGAAGGTTTGCCAGGCGCTGTTCCCGGCCCCAGGTGTTGGATCACGCCGGCCTGCTTGAAGGAGCTGCGAGCCCTGCACTTCCCCGACGAGTTGCTCGACATAGCCGCCGCCGTGCAGGCAGCCAAGGCTAGGGTCGTCAAGTGGGAGTCGCAAGGCGGGCTCCGCATCCACGCTCGAGCAATGGCCATGCGGGGGCTCTCATGTGCCTCGACCGAAGCGTCCCTGGCCCGATTAGGGTGGTTCGGCTCCTGTCGCGAAAGGTGTTTCCTACTGCAGCTGTCCCGAGCCGACGACAAGATGCAAGTTCTGCGGCGGCAGCGCCCTCCAGACACAAAGTGGGAAGACAGGGCCGGCTGGCAACGACGCGCAGCTGTCTTGTTATGCGGCGAACACGGGTTGGGAGCGTAGCTGCATTTGCGCAGACGGCCGGCGCGCTGGCAGGTCGGCGTCCTACCAGGCCGACGAGTTGTAAGGGCGATGGGTGCCCTCTCGATGATTTCAGCGACGTGCCAACCTCGAGTGACGTCGGCTTGTCTGCGGCTGCTATCCAACGGCTTGTGCACGCAGGCCCGCTTCCAAGGACGCGGGGCTTGCAGACTGGGCTGCGGTGCTCAGGTGGACAGCATCGAGCATCGGGCCCGTTGCCCAGCAGCCTGACATCTGTTTTGGAGTAAATCTCAGATTCCGTCCACATCGGCAGACGTTGCGCTGGAGGCGTTATTTTTCATGGATGAGGGCGCCGAGACGTGGCAGGACAAAGAGGCCACCCGCCGACGCGCAATGGCTACCTATGCCCTGTATCGTTGTGACAATCGCGCGAGGACTTGCCGCCTGACGCTCGGGGACCTGCCGGGCGCCTACGTGGAGTTCCAGCACGAGGGCAATCGCGGAAGACCTGAGCCGTGACACGCTGGTCTCTTTCAGGCCGGCTGGGCGCATCCTGGCCGGATCGCCCGGCGTGAGCACGCTGTCGCTTCCTTCCTCCTCTCCCTCTCTTCTCTCGCCCTTGAGTAGGTTAGCTCCTGTGCGTACATGTTTGCTTCCATTGTGTTGCATGGAATCGTGTTGCCAAAAACGTGCTTTAAAAATTTCAAGCCGTTTCTCGTTAAACCGCCGGAGGCGGTAGACACGATAGCTTGCACCGACCCCCCCGGGCAATAACTGTCGTCACGGGTGGCCCTTTGGGACCAGGCAGCTGATGGCAGCGTCGTCGGGGCGGCGGTCTTCTTAGGCCGTAGGGATCCATCGGTACAAATTGAGCCATTTTTTGTTTCCCTGGGTAGGTATGCCTGTCCGAGCCTGTGTCGCACATGGAACTTCATTACCGGAGCGCCTCGGGCCGGACAGACCGATTGGCAGCAGGCGATGTTTGCCTCAGGTGGTGTCGTCGTCATCCCCTCTTCCGCCGTCCTGCGGTCGTTCCTCTGCCCCTCCCCTCTCCTGCTCGTTTGTCGGGTGGTCGCCCGGGCTTCGCCCTCCCTCTCCTCCGGGCCGTCGGTCGTCCCCCCCGCCGCTCGCTCTCCCTCCGTCCCCCGGCTCCGGTCTCGTCCTGGCCCCCGGGTGTCGTTCCCTCCTTTGCACCTTGCTGCTGTTGCTGTTCTCCCGGTCGTCCACCTGGGGGATCGTGCCTGGCTCTGGCATGGCTGTACGTGTTTCGCTCGCAGCGAGTCCGTGGCTGGTCAGCCGCATGGATGCCTCTGGCGAGATACACCGCAGGTCTGGTGGCCGCAAATGCCCGCGTCGATTTCAAGACGAGCCGTTGGTTGATCGCGAGCCTGGCTAATGGGGCCGCAGCGTGTTGTTTCGGTGCGTTGCTGAAGCAGCGTTCCGTGGCCCCGTTTGTGGGGCTCGGCCTTTGCGGGAGTTCCCCTGGTCCGTGACGGCGGACTCCAGGCCTCCCCTTTAGGGTGCACGGCGCCACACTTCTGGCTGCCAGCGCTTAGTCGCACCAGTTGTTGTGACGGAGCTGTCCCTGTTTCGGCCTTTCCCTCCCTCCTCGCTCTCCCCAGCCATGCCGGCCAAAGGGCTGGCGTGGCGCTGCGGGCATCTGCGCGTCCCTGTGCAGACAGGGCGAGCTCGTGGTCGTTCATGGCCCTTCCAGTCTCCAGGGCAACCGACAGGGCTGTTCATTTTCATTGGCGTTTGCGCCGGCAGTACCAGCGGGAGGCCATCGTCAGGCCGCCCGGTCTCTCCGGCCGCTCCCCTACAGGCGGGCCGCCCCGAGTCTGCGCGGAGCGCGGTGTCCTCTCCCGCCTCCTTTTCCTCCGTCTCCTCCGCCTCCTCCTCCTCCGCCCCCCGTCCTACAGTATCTATCGTTTAGCGCTGTCACCGCGCCCCCGGCACAATAAAAACCTGGGACGAGATTTTATCAGTGCTTCTCGCGAGGCCTCATCCTGGCGGACTGGCTTTTGTTTTCCGCTTACCCCTCTTTGCCTCGCTCTGTGCCTTCTGCGTCATATCGTTGGCTGTTCCAGCCACGGGGTATATTTTCATGCGGCACGATGTTTAAATTCTGGGCTTTGGTATTGTGCACGGGTTTGCCTATCGCAGGTCGTTTCGTGTGGCGGTCCAGGTAGTGCTCAGCACACGCACTACTGACGCATTGCTAGAGCAGTGGTGGAGCTCCTCAGGCGAATAACTTTATAATTCATGTCCGTGGCCTGTTGGTCCCCTCGTCGTCCTCCGCCTCGGTGTTCCTCCCTCCCCCCTTCCCCCTCCGCCGGCTGCATGTGTTTCATTTGTCAGGCTTGCCATGCCCCATTGTCTTGCTTGCGCTATGCTTCACGGTCCCTGTGGTGCCATCGTGTGCGAGAAAAGAACCATTGAGGCCTATGAGCCCCAGGAGCCCAATGAACCGCATGAGCCCAATGAGGCCCATGAACCCTGCACGATGAGCTCTACGAGCCCTATGAGTCCTATAAGCCTACGAGCGCTATGAACCATATGAGCTCTGCGAGCCCTGAGCCCCATGAGCCCTGCGAGCCCCCCTCAAGTTTAATAAGCCCTATGAGCCCTACGAGCCCCACGAGCCCGATGCTTCCTATGAGCCCCATATGAACCATAAGAGCGCCATATGAGCCTTATGGGTCCCATGGGCTCTTTGCGTCCCGTCAGCTCTATGAGTTCTTTGAGCCAATGAGCCCTATGAGCCTTCCGAGCCCTATGGGCCCCATGCGCCCAATGAGCCCGATGAACCCTGTAAGCCCGGAGTCGCCCTATGAGGCGTACAAGCACTAAGAATCCCCCATGAGCCTTATGGGGCCTTCGACCCCCACCAGCCTTATGAAACCTATGCGCCCTACGAGCCCTGTGGGGCCTATGAGCCCGTATGGGCCTTGTAAGCCCTATCTGCCCTACGAGCCTTACAAGCAAGCCCTTTAGCTCTACAAGCCCTATGAGTCCGATGAGCCCTGTGAGCGCATACGAGCCAAATGCGACGAATGAGCCCTATGAACCCCCTGAGCCCCACGCGCCTTACGAGCCCTGAGCCCTACGAGCCTTATGAGCCCCATGAGCCCAATGGGCTCTGTGAGCCCTATGAGCCTTAGGAGCCATATGAGCCCTCTGAGGCCTATGAGCGCTTCGCGCCCCCCGAGCCCTATGAGCCCAATGCGCCCTGTGAGCCCTAGAAACCCTATGCGCCTCATGACCCCTACGAGCCCCCTGTGAGCCGCATGACGCAATTGAGCCCCAAAAGCCCTATGGGCCCCGAGCCCGATAAGCCCTGTAAGCCAGGTGCTACCTTATGATCTCTACGAGCCCTACGAGCCTTATGGGGCCTACGACCTCCACGAGCTTTGTGAACCCAATGAACCCTTCGAGCCCTGCCCTATGAGCCTTATGGGCCCTGTAAGCTCGATCAGCACCACGACCCTTACGAGCCCCATGGGCCTTATAAGCCTTATCAGCCCTACACGACTTATGAGCACCATGAACACATGCGAGCCCAATGAGCCTAATGAGCACAGTGAACCCAATGAGCCCTTTGAGCTCATAGGGGTCCATGAGCCCTCTGAGGCCTGTGAGCCTTCTGAGCTCTCTAAGCCTTCTGAGCTCTCTAAGCCCTCTGAGGCGCGTGAGCCCTCTGAGTCCTCCGGCGCTTCGCGCATTCCTCCAGCCCTATCCTGCGAGGGTTTCGATGACAACCCGGGTGGCTTGCATGCAATATCCTCTTGCGAAAACCCGCGGGATAGTCCGAGAAGCTTCTAAAAGGCGTCGTCGTCGTCCTCCTCCGTCGTCCTCCGTCGCCCTCCGTCCTCATTCGTCTTCCTCTACCCCTTCCTCCTCTTCCCCCCCCCCCTTCGTCGTCGCGATCTTCTTCCTCCCTCCTCCTCCAATTCCAAATCCCCTCCCCTTGTTCCCCTCCCCCT